TTGTGGTTTTGATTTGCATTTCCCTGACTCCCAGTGATGTTGAGCATCTTTTCACATGTCTGTTAGCCACCTGGATGTGTTCTTTGGAAAAGTGTCTATTCATGTGAAAGACAGATTTTTATTTTCTCAGTTCTGGGGGCTAGAAATCTGAGCCCAAGGTGTCAGCAGAGTTGGTTCTTTCTGTGGGCCATGATGGAAGGATATTCCAGGCCCCCCTCCTTGGTTTGTAGATGGCTCTTTTCCCTGTGTGTTCACATCATCTTTCCTCTGTGTGTCTGTGTCCTAATTTCCTTTTCTTTTAAGGACACAGTCATATTGGATTAGGGCCACCCTAATGACCTTACCTTAATTACCTCTTTAAAGACCCTATCCAAATATGGTTACATTCTGGAGTATTAGGGGTTAGGATTTCAAAGTACAAATTTATTTTGAGGCTGTGACATAATTCAGCCCATAATAGAACTAAATGAATTTAGCAAAGTTGCAGGGCATGAAAACACAAAAATTTCTATGTACTCTCTATGTATTTCTATGTACTCTATGTATTTCTATGTACTCACAGTGAGCTCTCCAAAAACGAAATTTAAAAACAATTAGAATAGCATTAAGAAGAATACTTAGGAATAAATTTAACCAAGATGGCAAAAGATATGTACACTGAAAACTTTGAAACACTGTTAAAAGAAATAAAGGAAGAGCTAATTAATTGGAAAGACATTGCCTGTTCATGGATTAGAATACAGTATTGTTAAGATTTGGGATAAATCAGTGTTGGTAGAGGGAGAATTAAATCTAATGCAAAACAAGGTACTCTTTAATTCCATAGAAAATTAAAAGTTCATGAGAGTAAAATAACCATTGTGTACTATGTAATCAGATGTGAATAGCTTAATTAAAAAAATAGCTTTACTGAGATAGAAGACATATACTATATAGTTAACCACTTACAGTGTGCAATTTAATGGATTTTAGTATCTTCACGGAGTTGTATGCCCAGTACCAGTCACTTTTAGAACATTTTTATTGTCCCAGAAAGAAACCTGGCACCTGTTAGCAGTCCCTCCCTGTGTTCCTCCATCCCCTCACCCTTGGCTCCTGGCAACCACTAATCTACTTCCAATCTCTGTAGATCTGCCTGTTGTGGGCATTTCCTGTAGGTGGCATCATTTAGTATGTGGTCCTTTGTGACCAGCTTCTTTCTCCTAGCGTAAGCTAGTTTTCAAGATTCAGCCTTGTTGTGGCACATGCCAGTCCTTCATTTCTTTTTACTGATGAATAATAATCCATTATATGGATAATACCATGCTTTATTTATCCATTCATCAGTTGACAGACATGTGGATTGTTTCCACTCTTTGGGCCATCATGAGTAAAGCTGCTCTGAACATTCCTGTACAAGTTCTTGTGTGGACATAATGCGATCCATTTTCTTGTCTATCCCTAAGAGTAGATTTTCCAGTTAGATGCACCATTTTACCTTCTCAGCAACAGTATATGAGAGTCCCAGTTTCTCCACCTCTTCGCCAACACTTGTTATTGTCTGTCTTTTTGATTATGGTTATCTGTAGTGGGTTGAATGGTGACTCCCCAAAAGATATGTCCACAGCCTAATCCCTGGAACCTCTGAATGTGAACTTGTTTGGAAGCAGGGTCTTTGCAGGTAGAATTAAGTTAAGAATCTTGAGATGAGATCATCCTGGATTTTCTGGCCCTATACCCAAGGACAAGTATCCTTATAAAACAGAAGAGGAGAAGACCATGTAAAAACAAAAGCAGAGATTGGAGTTATGCAGCCAAAGTCAAGGAGTACCTGGAGATACCAGAAGCTAACAGAGGCAAGGAATTATCCTTTTAGAGCCTTTGGAAGGAGCCTGGCTGTGCGGACACCTTGATTTCAGATTTCTGGCCTTTGGAACTGTAAGAATATAAACTCATTTTGTTTTATGTCACCACGTTTGGGGTAATTTGTTAGTGCAGTGCTGGGAAACTGATACACCAATATAGTGGTGTCTCTTCAGTTTCCATTTGCATTTCCCTGATGACTAATGATTTTAGGAGTCTTTTCATGGCCTTATTGGCTAGGTGTACATCTTTATTTGTACAAATGTCTATTTAGATCCTTCGCCCTTTTAAAAATTGGGTTGTCTTTTTATGAGTTCTAAGAGTTCTTCATCCAAGTCTCTTATCAGAGAGATGATTTATAAAAATTCTCACCCATTTGGCAGGTTGTCTTTTGACTCTTTTGATGGTTTCCTTTGAAGCTCAAAAGTCTTTCATTTTGATGAAATCTACTTTATCTTTTTTTCTGTTGTGTTTTTGACATCACATTGAATAAACTGTTGCCCAGTTCAAAGTCGTGAAGATTTATGCTTGTGTTTCCTTCTAAGAGTTTTATGAAAGTTTTTAGCTTTTACATCTAGATCTTTGATCCATTTTGAGTTAATTTTTGAATAGATGTGAGGGAGGGATCCAGCTTCATTCCTTTGTGTGTGAATATCCAGTGGTCTATGAATAGCTTTGACTTAGTAAAGGAAACACTGATAATTGATCAAGTGGAGAATAAAACTATAATCGGGAGGATGGGGGGTGGTGGGTGGGGCAGGAAGGGTGTCCAGTGAGTGGTAGGGTCTGGAAAAGAAAGGGAGTTAAATCCTCCTCTCCAGTAGAGGCAAGTCAATAAAGCCTAAGATGGAAAACTCAAGAAGTAGCAACATAAGCATGTTATTTAGAAACATGGAGGCAAATAAAAGAGGTGAAAGCAACCCAGAGATGCTAATTTAGCAGGTTGGGCGTATGCCACCCCACCCTAGGATTCTAATGAGCAGACAAGGTTGTGAACCATTGATCCAGAGGTGCTGACTTTGGCCAACCCACGGGCATTTTCTCTTGCCCACAACTCATTTACAAAGTATGTAGTTCTAGAAGGAAAAAGAGTGCTTACTATGGTATTATTAAGCTGACAGAAGAGGAGAAAAAGTGGAAATACCTTAATGTCTGAAATCTGCATTTTGTTTAAGACAGGCTTCAAATGGTAAAGGATTGAAGAATAAAATGAGACCAACAAAATAAAATCATTTCTAAACCAGGCAAAGACCACTGCAGCACTGATCTGCTGATCCAGCAGTAGGAAAACATACTCTTAAAAAAAAAAAAAGTGAAGCAGTTACCTCCGATTGATTGAAATGGGCATGGGGAGGCAGATATTGTTGTTTTCATCATAGAGTTTCAAAAATTACATCTAATAATTGTGCATAATTTGATAAATTAAAAAAGAGACAAGCAATAACAGATTCTGAATAAGGAGAACAATGGGGAGACGGGCCCTACTAGATACTAAAGTTTATCATATAGCTGTAGTAGTTAAAATCGTGCCATAGTGGCGTACAGGTGGATGGAAAGATGAGTGGAACAGACACGAAACCTGGAAATGGATTCAAATGCTTAGAACAATTCATGATAAAGGCGGTATTTTATTTTAAATCAGTGGGAAGAGACATTCATTTAAGGGTGTTGGAACAAGTGGATGGCCATTCAAGAAACAAAGTTAGGTCCACACTTCACACCCACTTTGAACCAAAAGGACCAAAGATTTAAATAAAATAAAATCTTCAAAGTACTAAAAGGAACCCACACACAGAGCACAAACTGGAGAAAGAAGCAAAGGGAAGTGGGACATGTGAGCAGAGTGGCACGGGACAAGCCAAGAATAAACTTGCTGTTGGGAAAATCTTGTTTGAAACCCCAGAGGTTTCACCATCTCTTTTCTTAACCTGTATTTTAGGCAATACTATCTGTAACATGATAACAGCTACAGAGATTGAAAAGTTTGTATTAAAATGTGTGGAAGAGTTTGTTTCTCTTCTGTTAAATACAAGTTAGATGTAATGGTTTTTATTACAAGTAACTGTGCTCTATGATATCTTTTAAATAAAAATTTCACTTTATTAGCTATGCACCAATAGTTGATACTTCCCTAACATTCAAAATATTTATTTCTGGATGGTGGTTTTTTTTTTCTTTTTTTACTTTCTTTGTGACTTTCTGCACTGCATTATTCTTATTATAACCTTATATTGTTTTTATAAAAACATAATTCAAAATATAAAATACATAATCCTATTAAAGAACAAAGAATCAGTATTTATATCCTTCCACTGTGGATTTTAGTTCGGAATTCATTTCTTATCCTGGCAGCAGACATGAATCCATCGCCTTCTGTATGGAGTGATTAGGAGAAAGAGGCTGGGACCATGTAGCCCCACAAGTAAAGAACCTTTTGCACTTTGTCCCGGTTCCCAGCTGACCAGGCCAGGTTGAGGAGCCTTACAGGTGCACTCAGAGCATGGAGGGAGCGCTCTCAAGTAGCAGAGGTAGTGTTCTTTTTTTTTTTTTTTATTTGACAGAGAGAGAGAGCACAAGTAGGCAGAGAGGCAGGCAAAGGGAGAGGGAGAAGCAGGCTCCCTGTCGAGCAGGGAGCCCGATATGGGCCTTGATCCCAGGACCCTGGGATCATGACCTGAGCCGAAGGCAGATGCTTAATAACTGAGCCACCCAGGTGCCCAGAGGTAGTGTTCTTAATGTCCATGAATGGCTGGGACTATTTTATTTCTTCTGCTTTCCCTAGATGTGGTGTGACTGTGAACCTTGTAGGCAGGTTGTAAGTTCACTGAAGCAGAATCTGTCTTTATTTACCTTCTCAGGTGCCACAGGGCCTACTGCATTGCCCTGGACAGCAGTACTCTAGAAATGTTTGAAAATGGAATTTGATTAATTGGGAGATTTTTTTTGGACTGACAGAAAAAAAAATGTCCACACACTTGTGTAGCTGGTATTTTAGGAATGGTGGCCCAGATGCTCCCATCAGACACATAAGTCGGGATTATGAAACTTTAAATTTATGAAAGCTGTTCTAGAGATGATCTCTTTATATAATTAAAGAGTGTATCAGGGAGTGGTTTTCATAGACATTAATCTTGGCCTCTTTCTCCCTTGTCTTGCAGGTGTATCATACTTTGTTCTGGCCTCTTGAATGGACAGTGGCCAGCAGAGACAACAATACTTGTTATGCAAAGATAATTTGCAATAAATTCGACAATGTACGTAATATGATTGGATGCTAAAAAGCTGTTTATTTTAAACTGTTGCTTTTAATCTAGTATTTGGGTTTGAACGATCTCTTTAAAGACCGCTTTCAGGGCGAGGCAGAAATCCTTCAAATTGTTACCAAGTCCATGTGTTTGTGGAGGTTGAACACGTGACAGATTATAATGGAGGCTCACTAATAGTCTCAAAAAAAAAAAAAAAAACCTGTTGAAAGTTGTCTCTTCCCAGAGCTATCTAACTTGGCAGTTTAGAACCAGATGATCTGTGAAAGTTTTGGTCATCAACTAATAAAATGTGTGTGCCTTTTGTAAATTGACCAAATGTGTGTCAGAAGCCTTTAGAAAGAGATGTTTGCACAAAGTGAAAACTAGTTAATTAACTGATTCCTAATGAAGGCTTTCATTAAAGAAGAATCAGTGGGGTGGAGAGCCGGTGGGTGGAGGCTCTCTGCCTTCCCCGTTCTTGAGGTGAGCATGAAATTGATAATAGATGCCTTCATTATTGTAGTTGAAAGCACAGGTTATTTATGACTTGTTTTGTAAAGAACACTGAGTGTAGAAAGCAGTAGGACTTGGTTCTTCCCTTTTTAAGAATTTATAACCTGGGAGATGAAACATAAAATTAGGTAAATGTGAACAGCGACAACTGATATTTGTATGAAGTTTACAAATATAATGGTCATCTTCTCTCTGAATATATCGAATTCTCAGTGTAACAGAAAACAGGTATCACAGACTCATGGCCAGTTAGCAGGTGCCCCATTGCCTGAGCGGTGAAGGTACCCAGAGCTCTAGAACTTAGTCTCTTGGCCGTTGCACAGGTGTGCAGGGCAGTGAAGGGGATTACTGGTCAGAACGCCCCAGAAATGCCGTAGGGCTGTGACACATTCCCAGCTGTGCTCCCCGGGGGTGGTGCCAGCTGTGGGGTGCTTGTCCTGACTCTGGACATGAGTGATATGAGCTTACCGTCATGCCAGCTGCAGGTGGCCTTTGCAAAGGGAGCAGGCGGAGATGGTCTGCACGCACCACCGCCCCCCAGAGTGAGCGGGATTGGGCTCAGATTGGTAGAGCCCCTGCGGAAGCCAAGATATTTCTGATCTCTCGACAGAGGTGTTGACTGGTGGGCCTGGGGCAGAATTTCAAGGTCTCTCCACCCCTCTTTGGACATCTTCTGCTCTGTCCCTTGCCACTCCCGCCACTTAGCCTCCACTGCCCTTGCACACTTGCCCACCCTCCACAGTAGAGCTTGCTCCTCCTTTTACCCCCATCCAAACTGCTACTTCTAGAGTATCGCCCTGGTACTTCCTACCTTCCTGTGGCTATTTGGCAAAAAGGGTGAATGAGGTTTGCCCTCTCACAGGACCTGCCTTCATTTTCATTTGTAAGGGGAGATTTTCATCAGAGGTCCTTTGTCTCTCCGGGCTGCCCCCCTTTCCCCACTTTGCTGCATGATGCCCCATCTCAGAGATTCCAACTCAGGAGCCTTCTGTGGGATCCCGAGAACTCCCACTTTTCATGCACAGCTCCCGTGGCCTCTGATGGCCAGCCCCCTGAGAAATGCCGCTCCAGGGGCTCTCCTGTGAGTGCCCACCAGTAGATGTGCCCGAGGTCGTGTGCTCTTTGTTCTTTCTCCAGAATGTGGATGGCAGAGGTCTCTCTCCTGCCCTTCTGCCTTCTCTCTCTTATCTGGTGAGCATTTTCACTATTGAACATTAAAATGAAGACTAGAGTCTGGTGAAAAAACACTGGACAGCCTAAAATGCAGTGTTACCTTGGAAATATACTTTGACTCTTGCTTCCTGTCTTGGTGGGTCTGCTCATGCCCTGCGCCCCATCCCTCCCTATGTGCAGACCTGGGTGGAAACCCCGCTCTGGCCACTCCTTGATCTCTACTTAGTTATGTCAGGAGCCGGGCAACTTGTTTACTGGGCCAGGAACCACTACCTTTCCAAACCCTGATGCCCTAGAATTATTCCAGCATTGGACTTTAATTCAGATTTGTTGGGTTGTTGTTTAGCACTATCTCAGCATAATTTGGAAATTTACATCATGCTAATGAACTCCTTCATGCAGTGGGTAAATTGCTTGTTCTAGTAAATTTGAGTGCAAATTAACTCTGGATGTGCATTTACTGGCTCATTTAACAGATTCTTACAGTGGTTCAGTTTCATGATAATGTTCTCTGCTCAGTTCAACATTAGAGTTCTTTTTCTGTAGTAGCTGCCGTAAATATTAACTGTGAACTTGCAATAAATAGACTTCTATTCAGATCATGAACCTACTGGGCTTCTCTTTCTGATGTTTGCATATTCAAGTATCGGGTGATAGGATTCCATGTTCTTGGACCGAATGCCGGTGAGATCACCCAAGGGTTTGCGGCCGCAATGAAATGTGGGCTCACAAAGCAGCTACTTGATGACACCATTGGAATTCATCCCACATGTGGTGAGGTACGGAGATAGGTTTGTGTTTTTACTGATTTCAGTTGGTGTAGTTTGGAAAAACTATTCTAAAGCACATCGTCAGAAAGATTTTGTATTAGTAACTGCTTCGTATATTTTAAAGGTTAACCTAGATGTAATATTCAAAACGTGTTTTCTTAAAGCAATACTGAAATATTGATGGCTAGATATAAATGTGTTTGGTTTCCTTCCTTTCGAACAGGTGTTTACAACTTTGGAAATCACGAAGTCGTCGGGACTAGACATCACGCAGAAAGGCTGCTGAGGCTAGCCCCGCTGCTGTTTGGTTTTCCTTGTCCTATTCCCATTTCTCTTGAAGATAAGAATGCCCCCCGGGTAAAGTGAGTCGGTGCTCATGCACCTGCTCTCCTGCACGGGGCCCAGTGCTGGACTTCCCTTCCCAGCACAGAGATGAGAAAGACGAGGAGGCAGGACGGCAGCGGGCGTGTGCTCAGCGGGCTCGGCTTGGCTGGGAGAGGCAGTTGGGCTGCCTCCTTGACGTTTTAGCTCGGAACCCGTTGTGAGGTGAGCTAAGGCCGATGCTCTTCCATGTCAGAATCGAGCTTCCCTCCGAAGGACCTTGCAAGCGCACAACTAATCCAAGTTAACTTTTCTGGTTGCTAGTGTTTTTATCCCCTTGCTTTGTTGTTTCTCTGAAAGTGTTTTCTCAGTGTCGAAGCTGACTGTAAAGTGGTGAGCCTCCAGTATGTGGGCCTGGAATTCCATGTGGTCACTGGTGTGCGGTGTCCTAGAAATGCCGTCGCGTAGCTGGCCGTGGGCGTGGGTGCACGAGTAGGAGGTTGCGCACACTGTGTAGAGTTCAGTCAGCCGGATCCAGCGTACCCACCATCAGACTCCCGCCTCGTGCCTCACCCTCTCTGGGTTCCCAGTGGCGACAACCTCGGAGTCCTCTCTTATTAGTGTCTCATGTCAGAGACACGCTCGAATTTCTTCTCTACGTTGATCTTAATAATATTAAAAAGTTTTCAATACTGTATGATGTGAAATCTAATGAACTTAAAGCTCTTTAAAATGATTCAGTCTCTTTAAAATGAATTACAGTCAAGTTCAGTAAAGGGACAGGTGATGGGAGATTCTATTCGAATCTGCACCTGTCAGCATCTAAGAGGCCCTTGAAGTGGGGACCTGTCCAAGGTCCTTTTGGAAAATCCGTTGTTTTCTTGGGTGCACATCACAGAGCGGCCAGTGCAAGGAAGACAGCCAGTGCTCTCCTGAGCCGGCCGTGGGCCATGGGCCCACTGTCTTAGGGTTGGATAGGTCTGTGGTCAGAATTTCTAATCAGGGGTTTCAAATGAAAAATTTGAGGCCATTCAGCAGCTGGGGAACACCATCTGTAGATAGAGCCTTTTGCTCCTCTCTCCGGAGGCAGGGAGGGAGTGGAACAGGCCTGGAGTGGGGAGGGGGACCCGAGGACCTGACAGAGGATCCAGTTATTGTGTTGCCTTTTTATTGGGGAGAGAAAGATACAAATATAACTCTGCAAAGTAAAGCTGGTTGTTGCAGTTGCTATAAGCCAGGTAGAGACAGCCCGGTGAAAAACGGGAAGACGCTATTAATTTCCACTGAATACGGGGTGGGGTGGCTGATAGATCAGAGTTTAATGAAAGCAGCTGTATTTAAACTGAACCATGAGGGATGAGTAGGATTTCAAGGATTTGAAGCAATCTGGAGAGGCTCTGAATGATGCTTTTGAAGGGTTCAACTAAAATTCTAGATAAAACAATTTTTAAAAACTTTGTTACTATACTGCTGAGCATCACATACATGCAAACAACCAAGGGTTTGTAGGACCCCAAATGAAATGAAACCAGGAAGCCTGGAAGTGGTCTCTGCTTATACTCAGCATAATGCAGAAAACCTGAAAGCCCAGGCCTGCCCAGGTAAGGTTCCAAATAGGAAGCCTTTGTGTAAAGCTGGGACCCCAATGGGCTGTACCCCCAGTGGGAGGGTGAGCAAAAAACATACTCTGCTTCCCAGAAAGAAGCAGCAAGGAAACTTGGCTATGTTCTTAGGAGGAAGTAATTCACTCAAAGAATTTTAACCACTCTCCGGGTTGCAGGCTATTGGGGAGGCTAGTTATCTTCCCTTTGCAAGGAGGAGATTGGTCTTAGATGTAAACCTATCTGTAATTGGCTCCCCCATACTCTCCCTCCCCCTTTCATCTCTTTCCTCTCCTCTCCTCTTCTGGGGTAAAGGTGGGCCTGAGATAATGGTGACAGATTAGGTTCACCAGAAGATAAAACATGTATGTACCTAATAACATACAGATGCATACAGATTTGCAAGGAAAAATACACATCCTCTATTATGGTAGAGATTTTAATATCCCTCAGTAATTAGATCAAACAAAAGAAAAGTCAGTAAATTACTGAGCCATCGAAAAGAATGAAATCTTGTCATTTGCAACTACGTGGATGGAACTGGAGAGTATTATGTTAAGTGAAATAATTCAGTCAGAGAAAGACAAATACCATATGATTTCACTCATGTGGAATTTGAGAAACAAAACAGATGAACATAGGGGAAGGGAAGGAAAAAAAATGAAAACAGAGAGGGAGGCAAATTATAACAGACTCAACTCTAGGAAACAAACAGTGTTGCTAGAGTGGAGGTGTGGGGAGGATGGGGTAGTTGGGTGAGGGTATTAAGGAGGGCACATGATGGAATGAGCCCTGGGTGTTATATGCAACTGATGAATCACTAAATTCTACCCCTGAAACAAATAATACAGTATATGTTAACTAAATTGAATTTAAATAAAAAAATTTTAAAAGTCACTAAAAAATATATAGGTTTGAATAACACAATTAACAAGCTCGGTTTAATGAACTCAGAAGAGCATCACATTCAACATGAAAACTTACTCATTTCAAGCACACATGGAATGTTTACAAACTTTGCCTATGCTAGCTTCAACAAATTTCGGAAGACTGATATCATAAAGGAATGGGCAAAAAGATTGCTGCTGCAGGACTAACACTAAGAACCTAGGAACCTTAAAGTCCGTACAGTGTGATGGAAAGTGGAGTATGGAGGTAGTGTGAGGTGAGTGAGGGGTTAGAGGGAGATTAAGCTGGAAAGAGCTAGGTTAGAGCCAGGAACTAGTCAACAAGGAGTTCTGGAAAAATCCTAGACTTTGAAGAATGATGACTTGGGAATGCCTGGTCCTGTGACTTAGGACATATGAACTTCTATGACAGAACGAGTTGCTTAACTTTTCTTATTCTTCATTTATTACGTATGGACAATATTGTCTGTTTCACAGACTTAAATACATTAAGTTCCTTGCATACTGCATATTGGTGTAGGATATCTTGGCTTCTGTGATCTGATGGGAGAAATATTGACAAATCAGTGCTTTGGCAGACTTCACTGTGGTAGGCAGCCTCTAAGTTGGCTCCCAGGTTGGACTCCCCAGCTGCAGGTAATCACATCCTTGTGTAGTCTCCTCCCACATTGTACCAAGGTTGGTCTCTGTGACCAGTAGCATTTGGCAGAATTGGTGGTATGCCCTTCTAAGATTAGGTCATAAAAGGACATGCACTATCTTGGATCATTTACTCTGGGAGAAGGCAGCTGCCACGTCATGAAAACTCTCAGGAAGCCCATGAAGAGGCGCAGGTGGTGAGGAACTGAAGTTTCCAGCCAACAGTAAGTACCTAAGGTCTGCCATCATCCATGTGAATGAGCTTGGAAGTGAATACTTCCCAGGCAAATTTTCCTCCAGCTTGCAGCCTGACTGAAATTTCATTAGTGGTTTTGGGCCACTCCCAGAGTCCTGACCCTCAGGAACTGTGAGATAATAATTATTTTTTAATCCACTAAGTTTTGGAGTAATCTGTTACAGAGCAATAGATATCTAATATGGCCACCAAGGAAAATTAGAAGTAGTAGAAATCTATTCAGATAACTAAAATGTTTTGGGGACTTTTTTCCTAGGACAGACAAAATAAAGCTCATACAGATTTGGGATCTCAACAAAAAGGGAGTGGAGCTCAAACTTAGTACTGAACTGAACTCCTCATCATGGAGAAGGTAACCCCAAATGGGAAAGTTCAAGAGGCCTCAGTGGAGTGCCTTCTGAGTTGGTGGTCTTGGGCTGCGGCTGTGGTGGGTCCCTGCTAAACTTCCTTGGAGCATCCATGTCAAAGCTTGTCAAAGCTCACACTGAAAAACAAAACAAAACAACAAAACCCTGGGGAAACCTGTTCATACAAAGGCGGGTTCATCAAACTTAGCAAGGGAGAGCACTACCTTGACAGAGTCTTGGTGTCCTCTCAAATGGGAGCTAGGGAAGGGTACCTAGAGGATTTGGGAGGCCAGAGTTAGTTAAGTAGTAGTTACACAATAAAGGTTAGTAAGTGGGTCTGGGCAGAAATTGGCCAGAATTTGTAACCGAGGCTAGCTGCTGGAGAAGTGTCAATGGTCTTATCTTTTGAATTTGGGATGGGGCTCCTGGGTGGCTCAGTTGATTAAGCATCTGACTCTTGATTTCGGCTCAGGTCATGATCTCAGGGTCATGAAATCAAGTCCTACATCAGGCTCCATGTTTAGGGTGAAGTCTTCTTGAGATTTTCTTTCTCCCTCTCCTTCTGCCCCTCCCCCCAGTCATGTGCACACTCTCTCTCCAAAATAAAATTAAAAAAAAATTGGGGATATATGAGATCATACAGAGCTCCTGTTACTGTAGTTTTCTCTTGGAACATAGAGCTCTAAGTGAGTAGTGTTAGTACAGCTTGACTTGTATGATGTGGTTTACAACACTTTATCTGTTTTTGAATAGTAGTGCAGTTTTTCAAGTTGTGGTTTATTTCCCAGTGAAGAATCATCCAGTGCAGGGAAACCTGTTAGGAATTTAATGCAAGAGATCACCAAGTACTTATGTAGATTTATGCTTCCACCCATGCTACTAGATGTAATGGCCCACCATAAACAAACTGGAGGAAATATGAAATGACTACACTCAGCCATGGAACAACAGTGTAGGACTATGATCCTTGAGAGAAGGGAAACGTGAAGTGATCCAATTACCCCAAATTTCTGCCAGGAAGTACTTTTCAGACTACAAACACAAGGGAGAACCCGAACCAAAGAAGCCTGGCTATCTTGCTGAAGTCAGGTGGGGGTTGGAGTTCAGGAAGGCTGAGGCAGCTGGAAGTTGCAGGTTGGAGGCTATGCAGAAAAGGGCTCCAGAAATCTGCAACAGGATCCCCTTGAGTCTTTGCTGAACACTAAGCTACACATCCTTAGAGTAAAATCTTGAAAGGTAAAGCAAGAAATAATGAGGAGTTGTAGTTTGCCACAGGTCTTGGGAGATGAAAAATTCTAATTGACCAGCAGAGGAGAGTCCTCAATAATACCCCAGGCATTAAGTGGAAACCTTATATGGGATCATGCCTTAGTGATAGACTGAACTATCCCAGGAGGGAAGTCTACTGTAGACCTACCCTAACAGTGTATAAAAATAGACTTTAATGGGATCAAGATGATGCAGAAGTCACTGCCTGCAAAAGAAAGCACAACACTTTCTAGGAAGGCAACAGAACATTCAACACTATAACAATAATGTCCAATAGCCAGTCAAAAATTACTAGACATGCCAAGAAGCAGGAAAATACCCATAATAAAAATCTGTGAATGGAAATAGACCCGGAAATGACTACCTGATTGAACTAACACGCAAGCATATTAAAACCACTATTAAAACTATGCACAAGTATTTAAAGGGAAACATGAAAACAATGAAAAAAAAGTGGAAGATATTTAAAAGAACCAAAATAGCTTGTAGAGATGAAAAAATATAATACCTGTTTTAGGCATAACAAGTAAATTTAATATGGTATTCTGGATGGGATTTTGGAATAGAAAAAGATGTTGGGTAAAAACTAAAGAAATCTGAATAAAGTATGGACTTTAGTTAATAATAATATATCAATATTGGTTCATGAATTGTACTGTGTGCCATACTAATAAG